CGTGGGAGAAGACAAGCGCCGAGGGCTGGTCCCGACAGCATCTCGGACTTTCCACCATGGAGTTTTCTGTGCAGCAGGAGGGCCCATAAGGAAAGAAGAGTGGGGAGCATGGAGAAAACTTCACCCTGCACCGTGGACGCCCCGGGCGCTTTAGCTCTTACCCTCTCCTGAGCGCCTGGGTGGCAGCCAGGCTCCTGCTTCCCCAGAGTCCTCCCATCCCCCCCAAAGTCTTTGCCAGTTGTTGAATTTGCACACACTGAGCACCTACTGTATACACAGCAGAAGGAGCTGAGATGGATCAGAAATGGATCCAGCAGCTCTCCCACCTGAGGCCTCTGTCTCACTTCCAGAAGGAGGCACCTTCTGTGAACAGAGCCACAACCTCCGTGGCCCAGAGCCAGTGACAGGTGACGACGGCTTTCCTGAACACTGTCAGTTGTCAGAACCTGAGGAACAGAGCCAGCCTCCAGTCACTTTCCTCACAGGACTCAGGTGCGCACAGGAGGGCCTGAGAGGGTTCAGACTTGGGAGCAGAAAACCCCCCAAAAACATGGGTTATGTTGGGTGGATCACACGCTCTCTCCCGACCATCTGTGTCTGTCTGGGGCAGATGTACATGAATCATATCAATAGTATGAATCAGTGTTGAGTGTTTATTATTTGTGAGGAGGGTCACCTTGCTGACACGTGGCAGAGTCAGGATTCCAACCCAGCAGAGGAGGCCTGGGGCCAGTGCTGGCAGCCAGGGCTGAAGCAGGGTTTGGAGCAGGGAGAATGGGCCGTGGCGAGGCTCCACATCTGGCCTCCGTCTCCGGGCTGCGAGGCTGGGTTGGGTTCTATAGGCCAGCTCCTCCTCAAGATATCCCCAGGATCTTAAAAGCCACAAATATGTCAAAAAACAGGCCTTACGTCCAGCTGTGCCTGGGCAAACAGGTCCCACCAGTGCCCCGGGCCGGATGCAGAGTGCACCAAGTGCTGGCTCTCCCGGGGCATGAAAAACAAAAGAACCACCTTGGGATTCCCAGCCACACTCAGGTGCCTGTTTCCTCTCTGACTAAAACAGAGGCTGTTGGCAATTCCCAGGTGAGGTTTACAGAAAGAAACTCAACATCGAATCTGCTTATGCGGCTTGGTTTCTGGGCTGTGACGGCCGCCCCATCTCCATGTCTGGGAGCAGTGACCAAAAAGTCCATGAGGCGCAGTGACTCTGGGTAACGGGGCAACCCGAGTAGAGGACAGGTGGTCTTACTATGCAACCTTCACCCCCAGCCCCCAGGTCCCACATCTCCCAGGCCCCCACCTTCCAGGGCCCTCACCTTCCACGCCCCAGCCTCAGAGCTTTGCCCATGACACAGGGCCGGAGCCTTGGAGAGGGGATGTGACATAGCCTGGGAATACTGCTGAGACCCTGGGCTGGCCTGGGCTGGGCTGGGGGACAGGAAGGCCCCCTACAGGAAGGCAGACCTTGGACCTCAAGCAGAGCAGCCTGGCCCAGACTCCAGACATATAGGGGTCATCCATCCCAGTCCCAGAGGGACGAGGGCAGAATGGGCTCAGTCTGTCTTGCTGGCCTCAGTCTGGGCTCCCCCGGGGCATCCAGCCCTGTCCCTAGTTTCCTTGACAAGGGAATAGAAAAAATCCCAACACAGCCTGCGCCTGCTCGGGAGGCGGCTCTCCCACATGCCCCCGCCCTCGCCCATGGGGACCCGTAGGTCCTGCCTTCTCTGCTCTGACCCTGTGCACTTTAGTGGAAAACTCCAACAGGATGTAGGAATTGTTTTACATTTTTCAGTCAGTGTTCCAGAGCTAGACATGGCGAGGGACTGTCATTCTCCAGAAGAGTCAGGATTTCCTTTTTTTCTCCCCGCCGCAGGGCCTGAGGTAAGATGCGCGCCTTCAGCTCGCCCATCGCTGTCCCCAGCGCTGCTCTAAGCCGAGTCCACCGCTGGCTCCACCGCCGCCTTCGCGAGCCACGTCCCCCGGGCCCAGGAGGCCGGCTCTGCTGCACCCGGAGGGAGAGCCTGGGAGAGGCCGGGGCAGGGAGGCGAGCCCACCCAGGCCTGAGCTCACATCTCCTGTCCTTCTGCCCCGTCTCGATCTGACTCAGAAAAATAACACAAGACATGAAACCTTTGGGAGAAGATCCAAACATTGTTATACATGGCGTCCCCTCCAGTCTTTTTTTAAAAAAAAAAATTTTTATTGATTTCAGAGAGAGGAAGGGAGAGGGAGAGAGAGAGAAACATCAGTGATGAGAGTCATTGATCGGCTGCCTCCTGCACGCCCCCTGCTGGGGATCGAGCCCGCAACCCCGGCATGTGCCCTGACTGGGAATCGAACCGCGATCTCCTGGATCCTAGGTCAATGCTCAATTGCTGGAGCCACACCGGCCAGGCCCCGCCAGTCTCTGAGTAGTGGTCATTTGGTGCAAAACCGACTTCCCAGGCGTGAGACAAGCTGGGCTTGTCTGNTGGGCTCAGTCTGTCTTGCTGGCCTCAGTCTGGGCTCCCCCGGGGCATCCAGCCCTGTCCCTAGTTTCCTTGACAAGGGAATAGAAAAAATCCCAACACAGCCTGCGCCTGCTCGGGAGGCGGCTCTCCCACATGCCCCCGCCCTCGCCCATGGGGACCCGTAGGTCCTGCCTTCTCTGCTCTGACCCTGTGCACTTTAGTGGAAAACTCCAACAGGATGTAGGAATTGTTTTACATTTTTCAGTCAGTGTTCCAGAGCTAGACATGGCGAGGGACTGTCATTCTCCAGAAGAGTCAGGATTTCCTTTTTTTCTCCCCGCCGCAGGGCCTGAGGTAAGATGCGCGCCTTCAGCTCGCCCATCGCTGTCCCCAGCGCTGCTCTAAGCCGAGTCCACCGCTGGCTCCACCGCCGCCTTCGCGAGCCACGTCCCCCGGGCCCAGGAGGCCGGCTCTGCTGCACCCGGAGGGAGAGCCTGGGAGAGGCCGGGGCAGGGAGGCGAGCCCACCCAGGCCTGAGCTCACATCTCCTGTCCTTCTGCCCCGTCTCGATCTGACTCAGAAAAATAACACAAGACATGAAACCTTTGGGAGAAGATCCAAACATTGTTATACATGGCGTCCCCTCCAGTCTTTTTTTAAAAAAAAAAATTTTTATTGATTTCAGAGAGAGGAAGGGAGAGGGAGAGAGAGAGAAACATCAGTGATGAGAGTCATTGATCGGCTGCCTCCTGCACGCCCCCTGCTGGGGATCGAGCCCGCAACCCCGGCATGTGCCCTGACTGGGAATCGAACCGCGATCTCCTGGATCCTAGGTCAATGCTCAATTGCTGGAGCCACACCGGCCAGGCCCCGCCAGTCTCTGAGTAGTGGTCATTTGGTGCAAAACCGACTTCCCAGGCGTGAGACAAGCTGGGCTTGTCTGCATTACAGAGGGGCAGCGAGGCCTCAGCAGGAAGCAAGTCAGGGGGACTGGTCAGGCTGGGGCAAGGGGAGTGGGGAGGGAGGGAACATCCCAGAAGAGAAGACCTCAGAGCTGCTGGCTGAGGAGCTAGACTGGTGGTGGGACCTCCCTTGGGGATGGGGGGCAAAGTGCTCTCCCTGCAGTGATGACCCTTGGTCTCCCCACAAGACTTTCCAGAAGGGCCTTAAAGGGCACGTGTGTTTGGGCAAGTGATGTGGAGCTGAGCCCAGGGAGGTGCTGGCTCTCTGACTGCAGGAGCACCTGGGCAGGGGTGGTGCAGGCTTGGGGTCGCCATCTTTCAAGGGCCCCCCGGGGCACAGGGCCTTGTGTATCAGGACCCCACACTCCTTGGGTCACCTTCTGATGCCTGGGGTGGGGGTGGGAACTCAGAAGCCCTTTGTGGGTTGAGTGACTGGAGGAGACTGGGATGCGGGAGGAGAGCTGGCCTGGATCAGAAAGCCATTCTCCCTCTCTGGAAAGCATGACCTGGGGAGAGCGTTGGGGAAATTTTCAGGGACCCCAGGCCTGGTCTCTGGAATCTTCTGGGTATGGATGGTGTGTTGTGGGTGGAGATTGTGACCTTTGAAGTAGGGACAATAGCAGGACACACAAACACACCAAGATATGTGTGTGTTCCACACCTGGGAAACCACCCTACTCAATAGCCAAGGAACGTCGCCTGGTCTAAGGGTAACCAAGGTCCTACTTGAGCCTGGAATACAATGTCCCCCACGTTCCTCATGGCCTGGAGGTGGAGAGGAGCGTGGTGACCCCTTCCTGAGGCAGGGCACATCCTGCATCCTTCTGCCCCCGGGGCCATCCTGGCCGAGCCCTGCTCCCTCTGGGGACCTTTCTTTTCTCCTCTGTGTGATGGGGTAAAAATGCTTCATGTCCAGTTTCTTGTCCTTACATGGTGGGCTCCTGAGGAGAGCTCAGCACATGTTGCTTCCCGCCCCTTCCTGGACCAGGATAAAGCCATCTACTGCCTCTCAGAGCAGAGGCTCCCTGCTGGCTCATGGGCCGCAGGTCCCTCCACCCATCAGGCCCCAGGGACCCTGGACCAGGCCATGCCCCACACTGGCTGCTATGGCAGACTTGGGGATGGGTGCCCTGGGGCCTGTCTTCTGGGGGCTCTGTGCCCTGTGCCCAAGTCTTCCTCAGGGTATGAACACCTGTCCTCTCACTTGCCCCCTCACCTCCTGCCTTGCTGTACCATGCTGCCCAGAGTGAGCTCAACCTCCGGAGACCTCACTGGCCCACGGTCAATCCTCATGGTGTCCAAGTAGGGCCTTTGTCAGAACAGAGAACTCAAAACCTAACTTGTCCAGAGGGCAAAAGATGTGGCCTTTCGACAGAGGAGTTCCTTATTTCGTGAATTCATGTGGTTGGATGAGTGGCCTGAGTTCAGGAAAGGGTGGGGCGTGGCAGTGCCAACTCAACAGTTTCTAGGCGCTCTGATGGTATATAAGGTACCTGGGGCCTTGAACGCATCACAGGTCGAGGACACAGGCTGTGACCAGGCAGAGAGGCAAAGGACACAGAGCCAGGGACCTTGAAGGAACTGAGACATGGCGGCCAACCCAGCACCCAATGACAGGTACTACCCCCCTTGAAGTGCCCCTGCTTCTGGCTCCTCCAGGCTCCCTGATGGGGACTTGCCTTCTCCCCTGAGGACTCCTCTGCTTCTCTCCCGCCCTCCTGATGGCCCTTCCATGTCCAGCCAGGCCCCCTCAGCTGATCCCCAGTTTGCCTGTCCTACCCGTGTCCCCTAGGCCCCGGGCTGGGCCCTGGGGGTCATCCTCGTCCGGCCCCGATCCGCCTCTTCCTCCCACCCCCTGTGAAATCTATCCCTTCTGCCCTGAACTGTGGACTCGGAGGTCACGTTCGCATTTATGTTTTCGCTTCTGTAAAGGACACCTCTGTATCCATAGTTAGAAAGAAAACCTCACGGGTTCTTTGAGAATAGCTCGGCTTTCTCTTTTCCCCAGTGGTGCCGCTCAGGAAGGTGCTTGGCTGATGCACCCTGGGGCTCAGGCTAACCCTGAAGACAAGAGGAAAAAGCACCACTGGGCCTAAACCGAGCGGGGGTGGGTCAGCGGGACAAGGGCAGGATGGCGATGCCAGGAGGGGCCCCATCAGAGCTCTGAGCATCCTGCACTGCTCCTGGGCAGAAACCCTGGCAAAAGGACTGGGGGGACGCCCCCAGGAGCCCCAGGAGGGATCAGCTGAGTGAGTGGATGCCCACCCTCTGTGGGGCTAGCTGGGATGTGGGGTGCAGAGGAGAGCTCAGGGTGAAGGGAAGGGATGTGAGGTGAAGGGCAGGAGACCTGGGTGATCCCAGGAGGAGTCCCATGCCTTTGGGCTCTTCCTGCCTGTGTCCGCAGACCCCTGATGGATGAAAGCACCTTCATCAACAACTTCAGTGATTTTATGCTGCGCCAAACGTACCTGTGCTACGAGGTGGAGGTCTCAGAGGGCGACTCCTGGACCCCAGTGGAGGAGTTCAAGGGCTTCGTGCGCAATCAGGTGGCTGACCTCAGCAGGCAGGGCCTCCCCACCCTGGGACATTCAGGAAGGTTTTCAGGGCAGGGTGTCCTCTAAGCAGTGTCCCTTTGGTCCCTGCAGCTGCTGTGGCTTTGCCTAGAGACAGGGAGGGTGGGTTCTCCTGTGACTGGCAGCTTTGAGCCACACATAAGGAAGCAGTCACAGCGTACCAGGGCCAGGAACCATCAGCCCGGTGCCACCCCAGGCTTCAGGGCTCAGCCTGTCCCCTCCTGCCATGCCTCTGAGCAGGGGTCAGGACAGAGGGAAAGGCATTGGGACAAGGGGTCAGGTTCTCCCCGGGCCCCTGCCTGGGGCGGTCGCTGGCCAGAGAGCCCGAGATCTCCTTTGGTGTTCCCTCCAGTCACTGCTGGGAGAGCCTGGCAGGGTGCTGGTCCCCACAAGGGCACTTCCAGCTGCCCTTAGCCCAGTGACACCTCCTCAGTCCCCAGGTACCTACCCCTCCCCAGGGCTCCCCAGTAGCACAGTTGGCCTGACTTGATCTTCCCCAAAGCTCTGGTTGAAAAAACTTCCTTCTGTGGGTAGACAGATCTCTATCACCCTATGAGCCCAACAGTGACATTCATCCGTTACTCGGGCCCCTCTGCCTTGGTGCCTCTCACCCCACTCCTCCCTGCAGGCATATCACCCTTGGGCTCAGCACAGGGGGAAGCCCAGAGTAGAAGCCTGTAGAAGTGTTGGGAGGGCAAGAGAGGGAAATAGATGGAGAACAGGGTAAATCCCTCCATGGAGGAAGCACCCATCTCTGTGGCATCAGGCCCATGACCTTGGAGCTCACTTGCCTGTTCCCTCTGTCCTCAGCTCTTCATCTCCTCCCTACAAGGTCTGACTAGGTGTGGCTCCTAAAGGCGTAGACTTTGGGTATAAAATAGAGGGGCTCCAGGAACTCAGTAATCAAGATGAATCACATTTAATGCAACAGTTTAAAAATAAAAATTAATGCAAATTCCATGATGAAGGGGATATCAACAATTTACATGAAGACTGATTAGTTATGGTGCCACGAGGAGCCATAGTTTGCTGATGTGAAATAACAGGTCATCGCAGCAGATCTGGCCCTTTGTAAAATGCCAATATTGTGCTTATCATGAGTTTTGCTTACTTTAGATCACGTACATCCTACATTAAAATATTCATCTTGATGCTGAGTTGTGTCCCCTGCCACTTTAATTTTGTGCCAGTGCCTCACCTACCCCACCCCCTTGGCCCTGCCCTTCCCTGTTCACAGCAAGTGCCAGAACCCTCTTCTCCCTCCTCTGTACCCAGGGTGCTAACACGTTCGAGCCACGCCATGCAGAGCTGTGCTTCCTGGATCAGATCCGCTCCTGGAACCTGGACAAGGAGAAGAAGTACAGAGTCACCTGTTTCATCTCCTGGAGCCCCTGCCCAGACTGTGCCAATCACCTGGTGGAATTCCTGGGCAAGGACAGCCACGTGAAGCTGCACATCTTTGCTGCTCGCATCCATAGCATCAAACCCGGATATGAGCTTGGGCTGCGTAGACTGCAGGCGGCTGGGGCCCAGCTCGCCATCATGACCTCCAGAGGTCAGCACGAGACTCCTGAGGGTGGGCGGTGGGCAGGGAGAGAGGCCTGGGGGAAATTGCTAGAAAGAGATGGGCAGGAGGGGAATCCCAGGTGGAGGAGTCTGTTGGCTGCCTGCAGAGGTGGTGCTGGATCTGGAGAAGACTGGCCGGTCTCCTGGAGGAGAGGGTCCAGGGGAGAGAGGTTGTCCTGGGGAGGGGAGTAAGGGTGGGCACATGCGCGAGAAGAACCCAGGTACTTTGTGGTAGGGGTGACGGGGTTGCCTCAGATTGCAGAAGGAGGAAAGAATTTGAGGGATAAGCTAACTCCCTTGGGAAGAAAGAGAAAGGAGGCAGTGAAATTATGATGGGGAGACTGTGTCCCTAAAGTCAGATACCAGGGAGTCCCTCCTTCTCTCTAGAATTGGAGCTCAACTTTACTTCCCCTGTTCCATTTCAGAGTTCACATACTGCTGGGAAAACTTCGTGGACAACCAGGGCCAACCATTCCAGCCTTGGACAAACCTGGATGGAAATAGTCAAGGCCTATCTCAGAGGCTGAAGAACATCCTCCAGGTGAGGCTCCACCTCCCTGTTCCTCTCCGCACCCCTCCCTCCTCACCTGCTCTCCCTGGGCCTTCCTTTCCCTCTGCTCAGGGCCTCCTCTGGGTTACCTGCTCACTCCTGGGACACCAGCTCCACCCCTCTTTCAGTTCTCACAAGGTCCCTCTGCTTTCTCACCTCCTTGTGTCCCTCCTGCCTTGCCCGCCTTTGTGACTGCCACAGACCTCTTCTCTGTTCATCTTCCCACCTGCCTCACTCCCTGTTACCCTTTCACTCCACCTTCTTGATCTAGAACCAGGAAAACTGAAGGATGGGCTTCATCTCGCCAATCAAGTCAGGAGTCTTCTGGTGAAAGACAAACAGAACACTTTCTTCAAGAAATGAAAACTCACTTGTCATCATCTCCAAACCGAATCAAAGAAACCAGCAATGGGCAATGAATGAGTTCATAAGAAAATTTTAAAATATCTGATTGATTTACCTCTCATTTAAAATCTGTGATATGTTCTAAATACACACGGGTGAGATTCCATTCAATACTACCAGAAGCATTTTTTACTTTTAGAGAAATAATTACTTTCACAGATTTTAAATCCAAAGCAATAAAATGAAAGATTAAGAATCTTCCAGAAATGTTCTTTCCTCTAAATGTGTTATGAAATCCAAACAGTCTAGCAGACACGTGCAAAGTGCAACTATCTTCCTCCTTTGTAGGTACCTTCATGGGAGGGCAATGGTCACAGTAATTCTCACTGGTCAAGTAAAAATCAGTAAGGCTTAGAGGAGCAGAATCTTGAATTCAAAAGTCTAAACTCATTGGCAAACTGTCATACCGATGGCAGCGCCGTTTCTGAAATGACAGTCCATGCGACAGGAGAAAGGCTCAGTGTCGCTACTGGGAAGAGAAATTCAAGTTGGCAGTTGCACTGGGGGCTGGGAATATCTGCAGTCCTCAGGCCGCTCCTAGTTCCACTGCCCCGGAGAGGAAGGGAGAGGAAGGGAGAGGGAGGCTTCTCTACCCGAGGGGGTCACTCCTGCCCTCTACAGTACCTGGGCCCAGTGGCCCCATTGCGGGCACCAGGTGTCTGTCCTGCCATGACTCTGGAGCCTGAATCATGCTGAGTGAGCCCGTCAGCTGGGCATCCTGCACAAGGCACTGCAGGCAACGAAGGCTCCCAGGTCTCTCCTCACAGACTTCTGCTCACAGGTCAGGGCCCACCTGTGTCACAACCTCTCACAATGACTATAAGGGGCTGGGGGCTGGGTCATTCAGTCTGAGGCACTGTAGGCTTACAGAATAAGGACTGTCCTGATGACCATGGACGAAGGGGGGGAAGGGACTAAGTCAGGGAGGACACACAGCAGAGGGAAGAACTGGTAGACAAAGTGACCTGGAGAGATGGAAGAAAAGGACAGGAGAGCGGAGGGGAGGGCAAAGCAGGGCTGAGGGCCAGCGGTGGCGAGACAAGGGGCAAGAAGGAGCCTAAGGACAGAAGGCTGGGATAGAGAGGGGTTGTCAGGGGACTGTGGCTGCCAGTGACAGAAAGCTGTCTGGAGGGGCTGAAAGTCAGCTTGTTTCACAGAACAAGATGGGGTGAGGGAGAGGGCTGTTTGGGCCTGGCTCAGCTGCTTGGTGATGCTAGTCTCCTCCAAGGCTCAAGATGTAGTCCACATCCAGACATCGTGCCTCATTCCAAGGGGGCAGAGAGAGGACAGGGCCAACCCCAGAACTTTCAAGCCTGTCATGTCTTATATATACATGAAAAATCGAATCCCTTTGAAANGGGAGGGGGAGGGCTGTTTGGGCCTGGCTCAGCTGCTTGGTGATGCTGTGGGCACCAGGCCCGCCGCCCTGTCCCCCAGCTCGGATCTAGGGGTTTGTCTTCTCCTGCTAGTCTCCTCCAAGCCTCAAGATGCAGTCCACGTCCAGACATCGTGCCTCATTCCAAGGGGGCAGAGAGAGGACAGGGCCAACCCCAGAACTTTCAAGCCTGTACAACCTTTTGATGGACAATAGCAGGGACCCACCATGAAGGTGGCTGAGGGATACCCCATAGCACAGCTTCCAGTGGTGTTTATTTTGGAGTCCCTGTGGGTGCTGCAGAGGGAACAGGATTGGCTCTTGGGTTCCTGTAACATATGGAGAGTAACAGTGACTTGGGGGCTGTCGTGACAGTTAAATGTTGGGCATTTAGGACAATGTCTGAGATAGTTCACCTTCAACAAAGAATGAGGTTATTAATCTCTGGTTCAATAAATCTCTGATTCAATAAATCATTCAGTTTACAAATAATCCTCCAGCAGGTTCCACTCACACCAGGTGCAGCCTGGTGCTGGGAAGGCAGCACTGGGCGCCTCAGCAGGTGGTCATGGTTGAGGCCCAGGACAGGGCCAGGTCCTGCTCCTGACCGCCTGCTCCTGTCTTCTCTGTGAGGACTCCCTCCCCCCCGCTGGCTCATCATCTGACCCATGGGGGCTCCTCCTGTCTCCTGACCTGGTGTCTTGCCTGGCCCCTCCCTAGGAGTCCCAGCATGGCCTCTAGGCTGCTGTCCTCATGTCTCTGTCTCCTCCTGCCCCTGCTGCAGGTGTGCCAGGGAGATTGTGAGTTCCCAAGGTGATTGTCCCCTACCCCAGTGAGGCAGATGAATTGAGAGGGGACTCCATTCACTTGTCTTTAAATTAACCTCTGCCTTGTGGTGCAGACTCACCTTGTCTCTGGACCTGGGCTAAGCCCCTATTATCCCCAAGCTTATCCAGAATTCCCCAATTCTCAGAACAGGGAATGACTACTTAACACCATATTGTTCTGAGGCAAAGTGCTTTTTCCCTTTCCCCAAGTCGCAGGTGGACAAGGTAGAGTCCACCTTCAGACCCTCCCTTTCTCCCCCTTCCTCCCTCCATCCTGCCTCTTTCCAGGCTGCTTTGCTTCTCTCCACCTGCCCAGAGTGCTATATCTTCCTTTTTAATCTTGTGCCTTCCTCTGCAGGCTCACTTCTCTTCTCCTCTCCCTCATGGCTGCTTCTTTCCTTCCCTTCCAGGTTCCCCTTTAATTGGATTTCAGACTCACTGAGAACATAAAGGAAGGCCTATAGAAACTGAGGTATATACCATGTTCATGGACGGTGTCTCAGAGTCACAGAGATGTCTATGCCTGCCAAAATTGATCTACACATTGATAATAGGGTATCTCATGGGACACGACAAACTTTGTCCATAAGTTCATGTGGATGTGTCAAAAGCCAAAACGACTTCAACAGAAGAAGATAAGCTGGATCTGCACACTAGACACCAAACCTGCTCTAAAGACCCAGCAGGGCAGCATGGGAGTTGTCCAGGCACAGACAAATGAGGCCATGGAGAGATGAGAGAGTTCAGAGACACAGATAGCCCTTCCCACACATACACACTAAGGTCGTGCATTTCACATCAGTAGGACAAAATGACATGGAAGGAAAGTTACTAAATGTCCTTGTATTGGCTATCCAATACAAAATTAAAAATTAGATCTCTATGTCATGTCTTATATATACATGAAAAATCGAATCCCTTTGAAAACATTAAAAATTAAAACATCTGTATATGGAAGACTTCATAAAGTGACAGCCTGGCCACACATTGAAGGGAAACATTTCCAATGTAATTGACAAAGGATTCCTATCCAGAATGTCTAAAAACNTTCCCCTTCTGTGCCTTTCTCATTTTTTAAATGGACAGAATACTCCCCACTTCATGTGGTTGTTGAGAGTATTAAAGGGGATAATCCATGTAGGGGCTCAGCACTGTGTTAGGCCCATTGCCTGCTCAGGAACTAGAACTATTTTCAAAAAGGCATTTCGTGAATCAAGTCATTACTCCCTTCACCACTAGGGGGCGCTCCAGCAGCGCTGAGACGCTGTCATACCAGCCCTTCAGCAGCTCTGCATAAATCCCTCCTAAGCAGCATCAAGGGTTAATTAAGGCTGCTTCATGGACCCCCAAGATGTGTTTAGATCCGGGCCAGGGATCACAGAAATATGTAATTCTGCAAACCAACATTTCTTTTACTTCTGCTTTAAGTCCAAAGCAAATCCTAACACATACACAGTGCTTCTTCCCTTTCCCCAAGTCGCAGGTGGACAAGGTAGAGTCCACCTTCAGACTCTCCCTTCTCCCCCTTCCTCCCTCCATCCTGCCTCTTTCCAGGCTGCTTTGCTTCTCTCCACCTGCCCAGAGTGCTATATCTTCCTTTTTAATCTTGTGCCTTCCTCTGCAGGCTCACTTTTCTTCTCCTCTCCTTCATGGCTGCCTCTTTCCTTCCCTTCCAGGTTCCCCTTTAACTGGATTTCAGACTCACTGAGAACATAAAGGAAGGCCTATAGAAACTGAGGTATATACCATGTTCATGGATGGCGTCTCGGAGCCACAGAGATGTCTATGCCTGCCAAAATTGATCTACACATTGATAATAGGGTATCTCATGGGACACGACAAACTTTGTCCATAAGTTCATGTGGATGTGTCAAAAGCCAAAACGACTTCAACAGAAGAAGATAAGCTGGATCTGCACACTAGACACCAAACCTGCTCTAAAGACCCAGCAGGGCAGCATGGGAGTTGTCCAGGCACAGACAAATGAGGCCATGGAGAGATGAGAGAGTTCAGAGACACAGATAGCCCTTCCCACACATACACACTAAGGTCGTGCATTTCACATCAGTAGGACAAAATGACATGGAAGGAAAGTTACTAAATGTCCTTGTATTGGCTATCCAATACAAAATTAAAAATTAGATCTCTATGTCATGTCTTATATATACATGAAAAATCGAATCCCTTTGAAAACATTAAAAATTAAAACATCTGTATATGGAAGACTTCATAAAGTGACAGCCTGGCCACACATTGAAGGGAAACATTTCCAATGTAATTGACAAAGGATTCCTATCCAGAATGTCTAAAAACGTATAAAGCAAGAGGGACAGGAGCTGCAACTGTTGTCCCTCCCACCATGTGAAGGCTGAGGGGACCTATGCAGAGGACCAAGCACAGAACAAGGAACTCCAAGTACATCTGTCCCTGATCCAAGGTCCAGATTTTCTCATGACCTCAACCACTCAACAGGCAGGAGGAGAGCATGCACTGGGCTCAGACTTGGGCTGGGTGCGGGGAAGGGGGTGGTGGGGGATGGGAGGTGTGGAGAGGGCTCCAGCCTGCCCCTCCCAGGGGAGCAGGGCCTCTGTCCAGCTCTCTTCAGCAGGGCCTGTCCCACCTCCTCTGTCTGACATCATTACTTTCACTTTCTCTTTGCAAGAAAGGTGGGTCCTGCTCCACAGAGGAGCCTGTCTCCAGCAGAGGTTGAGCTAAGTCAAGTGGAGGGCTTCAGATAAGGAGAGAAGGTGGGTCTGAGCTTGAGCAAGCTCACACCTCAGGCCCTCCCACTCCTGTTGCCAAACCAGGAAGGAAGTGGGGCCCAGCTGAGAAGGCGGGGAGGTCCTCTGTCAAAGGGCTTTCCTAAAACCTGGGCCCGTGAGCAGAAAAGCAGCACCAGCGCTGGAGAGAAATGGCCAGGAGGAAATGGGCCTGGCAAGAAGGCTACATCCGGAAACCCTGGCCCAGGTACTGCTCCCTCTCTGTCCCTGTCTGTAGGCCCTTTCTGCACGGGGTCTCCCAGGTGTCTCTGTCCTCAGAGGTGTCTTGTCTCCATGGTCTAGCCTGGCTTCTCTCCCTCTGGGCTTCCTCTCTGCAGTCCCACTCCATGGGGGCTTTGCCCTCTTCTGGGGATGCGCCCACCATTGCTTCTGAGTGGCCCCTCCTGCATCTTCCCCAGCCCTGTGTCCTCCTGGGCCACCTCTCAGCCTGCGAGTCTGTGGGGCTGGGCTGTCCCCTCCCTGCCTGTGGGACTGCCTGCTCTGTGGCCTCCTGTGCCCTCCTAACAATTAGAACTGGGCTAAGGGATGAGTGAAGCACTTGCTGCATTTAGTTTTATGCATGTCGATCCACTTTCTACGCTAGTGGCCCCGTTGCGCACACAGTGTGCGATCAGATCTCTGAGCAGGGAGATGAATCCTCTCTTCCAAGATGTCAGCGCTGCGGGCAGAGAGCAGAGTCAGAGTGCCCCAGGCGCACCTGCCACCCTGGGGGTGTAAGTGCCCCAGCAGCAGCAGGAAGCAGAGAAGCATGCCGTGGGCAGGAGACATGCTCCCGGTTTACAGTGGGGTAGAAAAGACCCTCTCCCCCGACATGACCTGCAATGGCTGGACAGGGCTTTGCCTGGGCAAAGGACCAGCTCTGTCACTTAGCAGCCCTGTGACGTGGGCAGGCCACTCCTCTCTCTGTGCCCTGCCTCCTTCTCTATAAAATGGGGTGACACTCCTAGTTTTGGGGAGGAATAGAGGAGTTCAGATACAAGCTCTAAGAACAGTAGCCAGAGCCTGTGATTTTAGGTGTTAGCCTGATATTTTGAAAAGTAATAAACATGCATAGGTGAAAAGTCAGCCATGAATTGAAACTTGATATTCAAATCGGTAATTTCGGGGTGTAGAGGGTTTCATTACTCATTTCTATTTTTGAATGGTTTGGGCGATGGGTGGGCAGGATCTGGGGTGGGGTTGGGTGTGGGCTGCTGGAAGCAGCAGAGCCAGGGCCGATGGGAGAGGGCACGGGTCTCTGCTGTCCCTGCAGCCCCTCTCCTCCTCCTCCCCCCTAGTCTTCCTGCCTGGGAGGCTGCAGGAAAAGCTGAAGGGAATGGCTTGGGGGAGGCACAGGCACGGGGCATCCAGGGGGCTGTGTTGAGGCGACACCAGATGGGAGAAACTCCAGGGAACACTCTGCATTTTCTGGTTTCTCTCTTGCCCACAGGAACCCAATGAGAAAGTTATATTTTGATTATTTCTACTTTCACTTTGTAAACTGGCCCACGCCCAAAGATCGGAATGGCTGCTACGTCTGCTACAAAGTGGAAAGAACCCAGAACGGCTCACCTCTTTCATTTCACACGGGGGTCTTTGAAAACGAGGTAGGTGCCCCATGATACTGTCATCAGAGGCTGGAGCTAAGCCAGGGAAGGATGTGGGAAGATTATCATATGTAAAATGCCAGAGGCTTCTTCCCACAACATAGTCTTAAATTCTAACCCTTGATGTCTCCGCTTGACCCTCCTCAAGCCCCACACACGATGGCATTGACTTATCCACGAGGCCTCTTTTAGGGAATCTGCTGGCTATCAGTCTCCGCCTCACCCAGGGGCCTCCTTGGAGGAAAGGGCATTATCTGGCCCTAGGAAGTGCTCTGCTGGTGGGGTCCTCCCCAGCCACACCCCTGCCTCCTCCAGGCCCAGCATGTGTGATGCCCCAGGGGAGAGCCCACACCCACATCCTGCCTGCCCCCCAGCCTGCTCTGAGCCTCAGCCCAGGTCTCCCTGGATGACTGCAGGCTCAGCAGACACACAGCAAGCCCACCACCCTGCAGCCAACCACTAAGGTCTCCTGTGAAATGTCCCACCACACGCCAGCCCTCCCTTCGCCACCCAGACAGCAGACTGTTTAGAACCCATCATGGGATGGACAGGGTAGCAGTCCCCACCCACGGGAGCGCGATCGGGGTCACTTAGGTCACTTAACCTTTCCTGCACCCAGTGTTCAGACTTTAAGAGAAACTGATGAATGTAATGTTGATAATGTACTTTGAAATATATCTGAGGTTTTATTTCAACATACAGTAAGGACTCCAAAAGTTCTTCATGAGCTAGTTTACAGTCTTTTGCAGACTACGTCATGGAGACAAGGTGTGTGCTTCACAGCTGACACTCACCTCAGTGCAGGCGAGCCGCATTTCCAGAGCACAGCAGACACCCGCGGCTGTTGGCGCCCCGTGGGCAGCACAGCCGCGTGGCCTCCCCAGCAGGCAGCGCGGGGAAGCCTGGCCGCAGAGGCCTGGCCTGGGGCAGCACTCAGAGGCCTGTGCAAGGATCGCAGGGCGGGGGCCGCTGGAGTTAATGGGCGAGTGTGGGGAGGGAGGGCCAAATAAAAACGGCGGAGGGGTGAAGTTTAAAAGCGGATAAATCAGCCAGATTGGCCTGGATCAGTGGTTGAGCGTCGATCCATGAACCAGGAAATCGTGGTTCCATTCCCAGTCAGGGCACGTGCCAGGGCTGGGGACTCGATCCCCAGTGGGGGGCGTGCAGGAGGCAGCTGAGCAATGACTCTCTCTCATCATTAATGTTTCTCTCCCTATCTCCCTCTCCCTTCCTCTCTCTGAAACCAATACAAAAAATTAAAAAAATAAAACGAGATAAATCGCTCAATAACATGCCCCTGAGACTATTGTTCCCTGTCACCTGGTCCCCACTCCCTCCAAACTCTGCCACATGCCTGCTCTGCCAGCCAAGAGGGTCCCTTTTCTTTCTCCCACTCTCCCAGTTCTATCCGAGGAAGCCTGTCCACACAGAAATCTGCTTCCTGAATTGGTTCAAGGCGCAGAAGGCATTCTTGGCCAAGAATCTGTCCCATGACGAGAAATACCACATTACTTGGTTCATGTCCTGGAGCCCCTGCTTCGACTGTGCGAGGCGGGTCGTGGAGTTCCTGAGCGAGCACAGGCACGTGGAGCTGAGCATCGTGGCCGCGCGCCTCTACTACTCCAAAGACCCACAGTACCAGCAGGGGCTCCGCAGTCTGGAGAGCGCGGGGGCGCATGTGGCTATAATGTCTCAAGATGGTGAGAGCAGAGGGAGCTGGGCAGGAACGTGGGAGAGCCCAGGACCAGGCAGGAAGGACCTAGGATCCCCAGAGGAAGAAGAGCCTCAGTTAGCGGCGTGCACGGGTGCTGCTGGGTCTGGAAGGCACCGGCGGGTCTCCTGGAGGAGAGAGTTCAGGGGAGACAGGGGATCCAGGGCAGGGGAGGGAGGTAAAGACACATGAAAAACGGGGCTTCCAGAAAAGGGGAGAATTGGGCTGCCTCAGATCCCAGTTAGAAAAAAGAATTTAAGTGATAATGAAGTCTCTAGGAAGAAAAGAGAAAAGAGATAGTGAAATTATGATGGGGACAGCGTGCCCCTAAGGGTCAGACTCTGTGGCCCCTCGTTGCTCCCCAGGGCTGAAACTCACCATTACCTCTCCTGTTCCTGTTCAGACTTTTTCAACTGCTGGAACACTTTTGTGGACCACCAGGGGCTACCATTCCGTCCCTGGAATAACCTGGATAGAAACAGTCAAAAGCTATCTGAGAAGCTGATGGACATCCTCCAGGTGAGGCTCCACCTCCCTGTTCCTCTCCGCACCCCTCCCTCCTCACCTGCTCTCCCTGGGCCTTCCTTTCCCTCTGCTCAGGGCCTCCTCTGGGTTACCTGCTCACTCCTGGGACACCAGCTCCACCCCTCTTTCAGTTCTCACAAGGTCCCTCTGCTTTCTCACCTCCTTGTGTCCCTCCTGCCTTGCCCGCCTTTGTGACTGCCACAGACCTCTTCTCTGTTCATCTTCCCACCTGCCTCACTCCCTGTTACCCTTTCACTCCACCTTCTTGATCTAGAACCAGGAAAACTGAAGGATGGGCTTCATCTCGCCAATCAAGTCAGGAGTCTTCTGGTGAAAGACAAACAGAACACTTTCTTCAAGAAATGAAAACTCACTTGTCATCATCTCCAAACCGAATCAAAGAAACCAGCAATGGGCAATGAATGAGTTCATAAGAAAATTTTAAAATATCTGATTGATTTACCTCTCATTTAAAATCTGTGATATGTTCTAAATACACACGGGTGAGATTCCATTCAATACTACCAGAAGCATTTTTTACTTTTAGAGAAATAATTACTTTCACAGATTTTAAATCCAAAGCAATAAAATGAAAGATTAAGAATCTTCCAGAAATGTTCTTTCCTCTAAATGTGTTATGAAATCCAAACAGTCTAGCAGACACGTGCAAAGTGCAACTATCTTCCTCCTTTGTAGGTACCTTCATGGGAGGGCAATGGTCACAGTAATTCTCACTGGTCAAGTAAAAATCAGTAAGGCTTAGAGGAGCAGAATCTTGAATTCAAAAGTCTAAACTCATTGGCAAACTGTCATACCGATGGCAGCGCCGTTTCTGAAATGACAGTCCATGCGACAGGAGAAAGGCTCAGTGTCGCTACTGGGAAGAGAAATTCAAGTTGGCAGTTGCACTGGGGGCTGGGAATATCTGCAGTCCTCAGGCCGCTCCTAGTTCCACTGCCCCGGAGAGGAAGGGAGAGGAAGGGAGAGGGAGGCTTCTCTACCCGAGGGGGTCACTCCTGCCCTCTACAGTACCTGGGCCCAGTGGCCCCATTGCGGGCACCAGGTGTCTGTCCTGCCATGACTCTGGAGCCTGAATCATGCTGAGTGAGCCCGTCAGCTGGGCATCCTGCACAAGGCACTGCAGGCAACGAAGGCTCCCAGGTCTCTCCTCACAGACTTCTGCTCACAGGTCAGGGCCCACCTGTGTCACAACCTCTCACAATGACTATAAGGGGCTGGGGGCTGGGTCATTCAGTCTGAGGCACTGTAGGCTTACAGAATAAGGACTGTCCTGATGACCATGGACGAAGGGGGGGAAGGGACTAAGTCAGGGAGGACACACAGCAGAGGGAAGAACTGGTAGACAAAGTGACCTGGAGAGATGGAAGAAAAGGACAGGAGAGCGGAGGGGAGGGCAAAAGCAGGGCTGAGGGCCAGCGGTGGGAAGACAAGTGGCTGGAAGAAGCCTAAGGACAGAAGGCTGGGATAGAGAGGGGTTGTCAGGGGACTGTGGCTGCCAGTGACAGAAAGCTGTCTGGAGGGGCTGAAAGTCAGCTTGTTTCACAGAACAAGATGGGGTGAGGGAGAGGGCTGTTTGGGCCTGGCTCAGCTGCTTGGTGATGCTAGTCTCCTCCAAGGCTCAAGATGTAGTCCACATCCAGACATCGTGCCTCATTCCAAGGGGGCAGAGAGAGGACAGGGCCAACCCCAGAACTTTCAAGCCTGTCATGTCTTATATATACATGAAAAATCGAATCCCTTTGAAAACATTAAAAATTAAAACATCTGTATATGAAAAGACTTCATAAAGTGACAGCCTGGCCACACATTGAAGGGAAACATTTCCAATGTAATTGACAAAGGATTCCTATCCAGAATGTCTAAAAACGTATAAAGCAAGAGGGACAGGAGCTGCAACTGTTGTCCCTCTCACCATGTGAAGGCTGAGGGGACCTATGCAGAGGACCAAGCACAGAACGAGGGACTCCAAGTACATCTGTCCCTGATACAAGGTCCCAACTTTCTCATGACCTCCACCACTCAACAGGCAGGAGGAGAGCATGCACTGGGCTCAGGCTTGGGCTGGGTGCAGGGGAGGTGTGGAGAGGGCTCCAGCCTGCGCCTCCCAGGGGAGCAGGGCCTCTGTCCAGCTCTCTTCAGCAGGGCCTGTCCCACCTCCTCTGTCTGACATCATTACTTTCTCTTTGCAGGAAGGGTGGTTCTTGTTCCCCAGAGCAGCCTGTCTCAGGCAGAGAAGCAACTCTGTGAGCAGGGAGAGAATGTGAGTAGGTGGGTCTGAGCTTGAGCAGGCTCACACCTCAGGGCCCTACCACTCCTGCTACCAAACCAGGAAGGAGGCGGGGCCCAGCTGAGAAGGCGGGGAGGTCCTCTGTCAAAGGGCTTTCCTAAAACCTGGGCCCTGTGAGCAGAAAAGCAGCACCAGCGCTGGAGAGAAATGGCCAGGAGGAAATGGGCCTGGCAAGAAGGCTACATCGGGAAACCCTGGCCCAGGTAGTGCTCCCCCTCTGTCCTTCTCTGTAGGCGCTTTCTGCATGGGGTCTCCGAGGTGTCTCTGTCTTCAGCCTCATCCTTCCTATGGTCTAGCCTGGCTTCTGTCCCTCTCTGGGCTCCCTCTCTGCAGTCCCACTCCATCGGGGGCTTTGCCCTCTTCTGGGGATGCCCCCACCATTGCTTCTGAATGGCCCTCCGGCACCTTCCTCTGCCCTTTGTCCTCCTGGGCCACCTCTCAGCCTGCAAGTCTGTGGGGCTGGGCTGTCCCCTCCCTGCCTGTGGGGCTGCCAGCTCTTCTTGCTCCCAGGCAGCAGAGCCAGGTACTACTGGTTCCCTTACACCCCCTTCCCAGACAAAGGCAGGGGAAAGCCACTGGATTTTCCTTGGCATGGCAAGCAGAGCCTTTTGCAGGTTCAACCCCGTAGGAGCTTACGGGATCCGGTTCTTTCTGATCCACACCCCCAGGGGGTTAGTGGTTTCCCTTTGCATATTGCCTGAGCCCTTGGACCACTGTAATAATGGTTCTGCCAAAGTCCAGGAGTGATGGACAATCCCTGCGGAGTGGCTAAGAGTGTGGGCAAACCTCAGACCCAGGCTTAAACCCTGGCTCAGTGGGCCCCTGTGCTTCTTTCCCTATCTGTGCAATCATAGCAGAACCCGCCACAGCCGCTCCTATGACCATCACTACCTGTTACCTGCTTAGCACAGTGTTTGGCATGGAGCAAGCACTCAATAAAGACTAGATTTATCCATGGGGGGATGGTGGGTGGGCTTATGAGCAATAAAGTTTTTCTAAGGTATAGTTTCCAAGCTTTCTGTGAGAAATATTTCTTCCTTTATAATCTCTAAATACAGGATGGGGCAAAAGTAGGTTTACAGTGGTGAGTATGGGAGTTTATTCTTGTACTATTATTTATTAATTATTGTATTATTTTCCATTATGAACGGTAAGCCTACTTTTGCCCCACCCTGTACAATATATATATATTTTAAAGGGACTGGTTTAACTTTTCTCCTTCTATTGCCTCTCCAGACTGAAAATTTTTTGTAGGTAGGACCTGGCTCTGCCTGTGATTTAAACATGGCAACCACAGCCAACATGTTTACAGTACTGACCCGGTGACAGGCATGGCCCTAAGGGATTAGCATGTACTATAGACAGCATGAAAGGTTAAAGACCTAGACTCTACTCCTGATACTCTGGGATCGCGGGCAAGGTATTTAACTCATCTGACCTGTTTTCCTGTGTGTAAATGGGGATAATGCAATCTCCTTCCCTGGCTCCTGTTCCCTTCAAAATACTCCCCAGCAGAAAGTGCCGAGTGTAACTGGTTTACTGTACACGCTGCCTCGCAGTGGCTCCCAATCATGGTCCTCTCATCTGCCTCTGCAGGCCACCCCTTCACGGTTTCCTGGTGTGTCTGTCATCTTGATCTGTAACCTGACGCGTGCTCTCTGAGGGACAGGGTGAGGAACCCGAAAGGATGAAGCCATGAAGTGGGGTGGTGGGACCCCTGGGAGGTCAATTCCCCTTCTGTGCCTTTCTCATTTTTTAAATGGACAGAATACTCCCCACTTCATGTGGTTGTTGAGAGTATTAAAGGGGATAATCCATGTAGGGGCTCAGCACTGTGTTAGGCCCATTGCCTGCTCAGGAACTAGAACTATTTTCAAAAAGGCATTTCGTGAATCAAGTCATTACTCCCTTCACCACTAGGGGGCGCTCCAGCAGCGCTGAGACGCTGTCATACCAGCCCTTCAGCAGCTCTGCATAAATCCCTCCTAAGCAGCATCAAGGGTTAATTAAGGCTGCTTCATGGACCCCCAAGATGTGTTTAGATCCGGGCCAGGGATCACAGAAATATGTAATTCTGCAAACCAACATTTCTTTTACTTCTGCTTTAAGTCCAAAGCAAATCCTAACACATACACAGTGCTTCTTCCCTTTCCCCAAGTCGCAGGTGGACAAGGTAGAGTCCACCTTCAGACTCTCCCTTCTCCCCCTTCCTCCCTCCATCCTGCCTCTTTCCAGGCTGCTTTGCTTCTCTCCACCTGCCCAGAGTGCTATATCTTCCTTTTTAATCTTGTGCCTTCCTCTGCAGGCTCACTTTTCTTCTCCTCTCCTTCATGGCTGCCTCTTTCCTTCCCTTCCAGGTTCCCCTTTAACTGGATTTCAGACTCACTGAGAACATAAAGGAAGGCCTATAGAAACTGAGGTATATACCATGTTCATGGATGGCGTCTCGGAGCCACAGAGATGTCTATGCCTGCCAAAATTGATCTACACATTGATAACAGGGTATCTCATGGGACACGACAAACTTTGTCCATAAGTTCATGTGGATGTGTCAAAAGCCAAAAGGGTTCAATGAGAAGAAGATAAACTGGATCTGCACACCAGACACCAAACCTGCTCTAAAGACCCAGCAGGGCAGCATGGGAGTTGTCCAGGCACAGACAAATGAGGCCATGGAGAGATGAGAGAGTTCAGAGACACAGATAGCCCTCCCCACACATACACACTAAGGTTGTGCATTTCACATCAGTAGGACAAAATGACATGGAAGGAAAGTTACTAAATGTCCTTGTATTGGCTATCCAATACAAAATTAAAAATTAGATCTCTATGTCATGTCTTGTATATACATGAAAAATCGAATCCCTTTGAAAACATTAAAAATTAAAACATCTGTATATGGAAGACTTCATAAAGTGACAGCCTAGCCACACATTGAAGGGAAACATTTCCAATGTAATTGACAAAGGATTCCTATCCAGAATGTCTAAAAACGTATAAAGCAAGAGGGACAGGAGCTGCAACTGTTGTCCCTCTCACCATGTGAAGGCTGAGGGGACCTATGCAGAGGACCAAGCACAGAACGAGGGACTCCAAGTACATCTGTCCCTGATACAAGGTCCCAACTTTCTCATGACCTCCACCACTCAACAGGCAGGAGGAGAGCATGCACTGGGCTCAGGCTTGGGCTGGGTGCAGGGGAGGTGTGGAGAGGGCTCCAGCCTGCGCCTCCCAGGGGAGCAGGGCCTCAGTCCTGCTCTCTTCAGCAGGGCCTGTCCCACCTCCTCTGTCTGGCGTCATTACTTTCACTTTCTCTTTGCAAGAAGGGTGGGTCCTGCTCCACAGAGGAGCCTGTCTCCAGCAGAGGTTGAGCTAAGTCAAGTGGAGGGCTTCAGATAAGGAGAGAAGGTGGGTCTGAGCTTGAGCAAGCTCACACCTCAGGCCCTCCCACTCCTGTTGCCAAACCAGGAAGGAGGCGGGGCCCAGCTGAGAAGGCGGGGAGGTCCTCTGTCAAAGGGCTTTCCTAAAACCTGGGCCCGTGAGCAGAAAAGCAGCACCAGCGCTGGGGACAAAGGGCTAGTGAGAATCAGGACTGGAAAGAAGACTTCGTTATGAAGCCCTGGCCCAGGTACTGCTCCCCCGCTGTCCCTGTCTGTAGGCCCTTTCTGCACGGGGTCTCCCAGGTGTCTCTGTCCTCAGAGGTGTCTTGTCTCCATGGTCTAGCCTGGCTTCTCTCCCTCTGGGCTTCCTCTCTGCAGTCCCACTCCATGGGAGCTTTGCCCTCTTCTGGGGATGCCCCCACCATTGCTTCTGAGTGGCTCCTCCTGCACCTTCCCCAGCCCTGTGTCCTCCTGGGCCACCTCTCAGCCTGCGAGTCTGTGGGGCTGGGCTGTCCCCTCCCTGCCTGTGGGACTGCCTGCTCTGTGGCCTCCTGTGCCCTCCTAACAATTAGAACTGGGCTAAGGGATGAGTGAAGCACTTGCTGCATTTAGTTTTATGCATGTCGATCCACTTTCTACGCTAGTGGCCCCGTTGCGCACACAGTGTGCGATCAGATCTCTGAGCAGGGAGATGAATCCTCTCTTCCAAGATGTCAGCGCTGCGGGCAGAGAGCAGAGTCAGAGTGCCCCAGGCGCACCTGCCACCCTGGGGGTGTAAGTGCCCCAGCAGCAGCAGGAAGCAGAGAAGCATGCCGTGGGCAGGAGACATGCTCCCGGTTTACAGTGGGGTAGAAAAGACCCTCTCCCCCGACATGACCTGCAATGGCTGGACAGGGCTTTGCCTGGGCAAAGGACCAGCTCTGTCACTTAGCAGCCCTGTGACGTGGGCAGGCCACTCCTCTCTCTGTGCCCTGCCTCCTTCTCTATAAAATGGGGTGACACTCCTAGTTTTGGGGAGGAATAGAGGAGTTCAGATACAAGCTCTAAGAACAGTAGCCAGAGCCTGTGATTTTAGGTGTTAGCCTGATATTTTGAAAAGTAATAAACATGCATAGGTGAAAAGTCAGCCATGAATTGAAACTTGATATTCAAATCGGTAATTTCGGGGTGTAGAGGGTTTCATTACTCATTTCTATTTTTGAATGGTTTGGGCGATGGGTGGGCAGGATCTGGGGTGGGGTTGGGTGTGGGCTGCTGGAAGCAGCAGAGCCAGGGCCGATGGGAGAGGGCACGGGTCTCTGCTGTCCCTGCAGCCCCTCTCCTCCTCCTCCCCCCTAGTCTTCCTGCCTGGGAGGCTGCAGGAAAAGCTGAAGGGAATGGCTTGGGGGAGGCACAGGCACGGGGCATCCAGGGAGTTGTGTTCAGGAGACACCAGATGGGAGAAACTCCAGGGAACACTCTGCATTTTCTGGTTTCTCTCTTGCCCCCTGCAACCCATGAGAAGGATGTATCCCGACACCTTCAACTTCCACTTCCACAACATGTTGCCTGCCATGGGGAGGAAAGCCACCTACCTCTGCTTCGAAGTGGAAGGACGGGATCAGGACTTAGTCTACAAGGGTGTCTTTCAAAACGAGGTAGGTGCCCCATGATACTGTCATCAGAGGCTGGAGCTAAGCCAGGGAAGGATGTGGGAAGATTATCATATGTAAAATGCCAGAGGCTTCTTCCCACAACATAGTCTTAAATTCTAACCCTTGATGTCTCCGCTTGACCCTCCTCAAGCCCCACACACGATGGCATTGACTTATCCACGAGGCCTCTTTTAGGGAATCTGCTGGCTATCAGTCTCCGCCTCACCCAGGGGCCTCCTTGGAGGAAAGGGCATTATCTGGCCCTAGGAAGTGCTCTGCTGGTGGGGTCCTCCCCAGCCACACCCCTGCCTCCTCCAGGCCCAGCATGTGTGATGCCCCAGGGGAGAGCCCACACCCACATCCTGCCTGCCCCCCAGCCTGCTCTGAGCCTCAGCCCAGGTCTCCCTGGATGACTGCAGGCTCAGCAGACACACAGCAAGCCCACCACCCTGCAGCCAACCACTAAGGTCTCCTGTGAAATGTCCCACCACACGCCAGCCCTCCCTTCGCCACCCAGACAGCAGACTGTTTAGAACCCATCATGGGATGGACAGGGTAGCAGTCCCCACCCACGGGAGCGCGATCGGGGTCACTTAGGTCACTTAACCTTTCCTGCACCCAGTGTTCAGACTTTAAGAGAAACTGATGAATGTAATGTTGATAATGTACTTTGAAATATATCTGAGGTTTTATTTCAACATACAGTAAGGACTCCAAAAGTTCTTCATGAGCTAGTTTACAGTCTTTTGCAGACTACGTCATGGAGACAAGGTGTGTACTTCACAGCTGACACTCACCTCAGTGCAGGCGAGCCGCATTTCCAGAGCACAGCAGACACCCGCGGCTGTTGGCGCCCCGTGGGCAGCACAGCCGCGTGGCCTCCCCAGCAGGCAGCGCGGGGAAGCCTGGCCGCAGAGGCCTGGCCTGGGGCAGCACTCAGAGGCCTGTGCAAGGATCGCAGGGCGGGGGCCGCTGGAGTTAATGGGCGAGTGTGGGGAGGGAGGGCCAAATAAAAACGGCGGAGGGGTGAAGTTTAAAAGCGGATCAGTCAATCAGCAGCACGCTCCTAGGACTAGTGCTCCCTGCCCCCTGTTCCCTGCTCCCCCGTCCTGCCACATGCCAGCCCTACTAGCCAGAGGTCCCTGTTTCCTCTCCATGCCCTCCAGGTCTGCCAGGGGGCGCCAGGCCATGCAGAACTCTGCTTCCTGGACTGGTTCTGTGACACCTTTGTGTCCCCCAACGTGTCTTACCATGTCACCTGGTACATATCCTGGAGCCCCTGCTTCGAGTGTGCAAAGGTGGTGGAGAGGTTCCTGAATGAGAACAGGAACGTGAGCCTGAGGGTCGCCACTGCCCGCCTCTACCTGTGTGACCAGGACGATGAGCAGGGGCTTCGAGACCTGTGTGCAGCAGGCGCCGAGCTAGATGTGATGTCCCCCGAGGGTGAGAGGCGAAGGGGTGGGCACAGGGCTGTCAAAGAGACTGGGACCAGGCGGGGCAGGGGGGGTGTGTGTCAGAGAGCCTGAGAATTCCCCAGGGAGTGCGAGTGGAAGGGAACTTGGGAAACTGAGGCAGGAGGGGTGACACCTGGCAGGGAGGAGCCCAGGCCCTGAGTGGGGGAGGCCAGGGGAGGCTCAGGAGAGAAAGGCTGCCAGGCCAGACCTGCCTGCTTTCTCCCCTCTTTACCACAGACTTTAAATACTGCTGGGATCAGTTTGTGTACAACCAGGAGATGCCCTTCAAGTACTGGAAGAATGTGCGTCGATGTTATTACGACATGAAACGGATGCTTAAAGAAGTCCTGTGGTATGAGTTTCCTCAGCTTCCCCAGCCCTCTCCCCTCACTCTGCTCCCGAGTTCTGGCCTCTCCGCTGCCTCAGGCGCCCGCCTCCCGCACACTTCCTCCCTCTACCCCTCAGGGCCAGTAAAGGTGCTCCCCCCCTTTCCTGGGTCCTCCCATCTCACCACAGTAACGAAAACGTGTTATTAAACTGAACCTAAATGGTCACGGATGTGCACCAGTGGGACAGACTTGACTTGCCACAGACTGACTGCTTTTGGTTGCTAGGGCTTCCGCAAGGGACTCTCGGCCCAGGCCCTGGTGACTTTAATGCCCCTAGTCTTTGGGGCAGCTAGAATTAAATNCAGTCAATCAGCAGCACGCTCCTAGGACTAGTGCTCCCTGCCCCCTGTTCCCTGCTCCCCCGTCCTGCCACATGCCAGCCCTACTAGCCAGAGGTCCCTGTTTCCTCTCCATGCCCTCCAGGTCTGCCAGGGGGCGCCAGGCCATGCAGAACTCTGCTTCCTGGACTGGTTCTGTGACACCTTTGTGTCCCCCAACGTGTCTTACCATGTCACCTGGTACATATCCTGGAGCCCCTGCTTCGAGTGTGCAAAGGTGGTGGAGAGGTTCCTGAATGAGAACAGGAACGTGAGCCTGAGGGTCGCCACTGCCCGCCTCTACCTGTGTGACCAGGACGATGAGCAGGGGCTTCGAGACCTGTGTGCAGCAGGCGCCGAGCTAGATGTGATGTCCCCCGAGGGTGAGAGGCGAAGGGGTGGGCACAGGGCTGTCAAAGAGACTGGGACCAGGCGGGGCAGGGGGGGTGTGTGTCAGAGAGCCTGAGAATTCCCCAGGGAGTGCGAGTGGAAGGGAACTTGGGAAACTGAGGCAGGAGGGGTGACACCTGGCAGGGAGGAGCCCAGGCCCTGAGTGGGGGAGGCCAGGGGAGGCTCAGGAGAGAAAGGCTGCCAGGCCAGACCTGCCTGCTTTCTCCCCTCTTTACCACAGACTTTAAATACTGCTGGGATCAGTTTGTGTACAACCAGGAGATGCCCTTCAAGTACTGGAAGAATGTGCGTCGATGTTATTACGACATGAAACGGATGCTTAAAGAAGTCCTGTGGTATGAGTTTCCTCAGCTTCCCCAGCCCTCTCCCCTCACTCTGCTCCCGAGTTCTGGCCTCTCCGCTGCCTCAGGCGCCCGCCTCCCGCACACTTCCTCCCTCTACCCCTCAGGGCCAGTAAAGGTGCTCCCCCCCTTTCCTGGGTCCTCCCATCTCACCACAGTAACGAAAACGTGTTATTAAACTGAACCTAAATGGTCACGGATGTGCACCAGTGGGACAGACTTGACTTGCCACAGACTGACTGCTTTTGGTTGCTAGGGCTTCCGCAAGGGACTCTCGGCCCAGGCCCTGGTGACTTTAATGCCCCTAGTCTTTGGGGCAGCTAGAATTAAATAATTTAATTCCTCATTAGGTCTTTGTTGGCGGGGTGAAAGCTCTTCCTGCCCAGCTCCCTTTGTCTCAGGAAGGTAGTCATGAAGCTGATGTGTGTCTCTCTTTGTCAAGCAGGGGATTACCTCGGGGCCTGCGGAGAATTTATGAGTTTGATTTGCAGAAGAAAGACTGTCTCCAAGTTATCTGACACCCGCTGCTGGCTGCCCCCGCTCTAATATGAAAAAGCGCTCCCTAAGAATGAAGAGACAGGCCTCTCTAAGTTCTCCTAAGCTCCCCTCCCCAACTCCCTTACTCCATTAACAACTCTCTACTTTTGCTTTCTGGAGAAGACAAATTTGACAGATCCTGCTGTCCTCTTTTTTCACTTTGGCCAAATTGAATAAACTTTTCTCTGTCTCCAAGCACCGGTGTCTCAGTGTTTTGGCTACTAGCATATCGGGCACACAAACCTGAATTTTGGGAGGTGACTCAGTAGCAACTCCACGGATTGGGTGACTGAACGATGGACACATACTCTCACAGCTCTGGAGGCTGGAAGTCCAAGATCGAGGTGTCGGCAGTTGGTTGCTCCTGAGGCCTCTCTCTTTGGCTTGCACATGGCGTCTTCTTGCTCTGTCCTCACGTGGTCTTTCCTCTGTGCATGACTCTGGTGTCCCTCTAAGTGTCCCAAGTTCTTCTTCTTGTAAGAACATCAGTCAGATTGGATCAGGGTCCACCCTAAGTGTCATTTAAACATAATCACCTCTCTAAAGCTCTATCTCAAATATTGTCCCTTTCAGAGGACTTCAGCCTATTGATTTGGGGTGGGAGCCACAGTTCAGCCCATACAATGACCAAGGACCTTTCTGAGTGAGTGGGTGCGGTAAGAGCATGTTGAGCCTTGTCCTGTGTGTCTGCTTCCCAGGTTATATCCAACCTGGCTCCAACTCATCTGCTTCCATTCCAGACTGCTGCCCCAGGAGCCCCCTGTACTGTAGGAGCCCCAACAGGGAGCACCACCCTGTTCTTTGCTAGTCTGGAAAAACCACGCAGGGGACCTTTATTATGTACATCTGGGGAAGACCTGATGGCAGGCCAGTCACATGAGTTTCCACCCTAGGCCAGGGTAGGCTAGGGGCTTATCTAGCAGAAGGGAAAGGGAGAAGGAGAGGGAGGGAGCCGTGCAGGGAAAGGCCTGCGCGCAGGCCAAGGACAAACCGAGCCGGCGAGGCTTTTAGCCGTCAAGGACGTGGGAGACACGGGTCCGCGCTGCTCTGCTGCACGTGGCCTCTGGCCAGGCAGACACCTTTCCACTGACTGGCAGGGGAATTGGGCTATAGCCTCGCTTGACCCCCACACTCAACCCCGATTCCACCCTCATGGTCTGCGCACAAGTCTCCAGGGAGGGACCTGTGTGGTTACGGTGTTAGCACATTGCATCCAAATCCCACAGATGCAGCCCAGGCTACAAGCACAGACTAACAGCAGGAGGGGGAGACCCACCATCCCTAAAAGGGCAGAGCGCCTCCCTGTCCAGTCATAGGGGAAATATGGCCAGGCATATGTCCCGCAGACCCAGAGAGGCCCCCGAGGGACAGGGAACGTGCCACCTCTTGGATGTTGTTCTGTCTTTCTGAGGCAGGGCAGTGTCACTCCACAGGTGCCAGTGGCCCTGTTCTGTCACGTTGACTGATTTGTTTTCCAAGGCAGCCCAGCAGTAGCAGGGGGGGCATCTCCGAACACACCCAGCCGTCTGAAACACTGGAGCAGAGAGCCACTTCATCAGCCCATCTCGCAGACTGTTAGCCTCACTGAGCTAAGGAGGATCAGATGTGTTTAGTGGGCACCCACGGAGGGAAATCAGGAAGATTACCAATCTGCCAGATGCCACAGCAGTTGGCTGCTTACCAGCCATGGAGGGTGGTATGAGCAAGCCTTGGGCAAGACCCTCTCCCGCATGGGGCTACGAGAGTGCACCAGCGGGTATCAATATGAGATTCCCAGGGCCAGGTTCATGCACTAGCTCCAGGGTGTATGTCCTGGGGTGCTGGCCACAGCAGGTTATTTTTATTTTTATTTTTTTATTTTTAATCTTTATTGTTGAGAGTATTATAGGTGTCCCATTTCTCCCCCCAATTGACCCCCTGCACTTCGCTCCGACCCCCTTCCCAGGCCTTCACCCTGTTATTGACTGTGTCCATGGGTTATGCATATATGCATATAATTCCTTTGGTTAATCTCTTCCCACCCTCCACCCCCCTTCCCTCTTTCCTCTGAAATATGATCGTCTGTTGCATGCATCAATCTCTCTGGATCTATTTAGTTCGTCAGATTCTTTTGTTCATTAGCTTCTTCTTAAAGAAGACCCTTCAACATTTCCTGTAGTGCTGGTTTGGAGGTGATGAACTCCTTTAGCTTTTCCTTGTCTGAGAAGCTCTTTATGTGACCTTCAGTTCTAAATGACAGCTTTGCTGGGTAGAGCAATCTTGGTTGTAGTTCCATGTTTTTCATCACTTTGAATATTTCTTGCCTGCAAGGTGTCTGTTGAGAAATCAGCTGACAGTTGTATGGGTGCTCCCTTGTAGGTAATTAACTGCCTTTCTCTTGATGCTTTTAAGATTCTTTCTTTGTCTTTAACCTTTGGCATTTTAATTATGATGTGTCTTGCTGTGGGCCTCTTTGGGATCCTCTTGTTTGGGACCCTCTGTGCTTCCTGGACTTGTAAGTCGATTTCTTTTCCCAGGTAGGAGAAGTTTTCTGTCATTTTTTCAAATAGGTTTTCAATTTCTTGGTCTATTTCTTCCCCTTCTGGCACCCCAGTAATATGAATGTTGGGCCTCTTGAAGTTGTCCCAGAGGCTCCTTATACTATCTTCATATTTCTGGATTCTTCTTTCTTTTTGCTCTTCTGGTTGGGTGTTTTTTGTTTCCTCATGTTCCAAATTGCTGATTTGATTCTCAGCAACCTCTACTCTACTGTTGATTCCCTGTAAATTATTCTTCATTTCAGTTCCTGTAGCCTTCATTTCAAATTGGTACTTTATTATGTTATCGATTTTCTCAGTTATTTCCCTAAGAGTCTGCTTAAACATCCTTATAAACAAAATTCTGAACTCTGTATCTAGTAGCTTGCTTGGAACTATTTCATGTAGTTCCTCTTCTAGAGATTTCTTCTGTTCTTTCCTTTGTGACACGTTTCTTTGCCTCCACATTTTGGCTGCTTCCAGGTGTTTGTTTCTATGTATTAGGTAGAGCTGCTATGTCTCCTGGAATTGGTAGAGTGGCTTTGTGTAGTAGGTGTCCTGTAGGGTCCAGTGGCTCAGCCTCCCCAGTCACCTGAGCTGGGCCTTCTAGGTGCTCCCCTGTGTGGGCTGTGTGCACTGTCCTGTTGTAGTTGAGCCTTGGTTGCTGTTGG